TAACAGAAGAACAAGAGGAATTAAAATTAAATGAGCCAATTTTACAAAACTCATTCCACAGCCACGCTGATTTATAGATGAATTGTTTAGTTGGAGAAGGTGTGATTAACATATTGTCTTTCCTATGAGATATGGTGAACAAAGAGAACATTGAAATTGGTACTCTTGTCTTAATTATCTTAAAAAATTCCATTAGGCAACGTAGTCTATATAGGTTCTCTACAGCTAGTAATTTATGTTTTGCAAATAGAGGTTTGGTAGACTCCTTAACATAAAAATCGCAACCCAAACGTTGGGAGCCGAACGGTCTAACTCTAGCACATGTTCTGAATTTGTCTACATACCTTTTATGGTCTCCGAATAGAATTCTTATACATTTCTTCTGAGTAATAAATAGTGGTTTTAACTGGATATTAGGAATACCTCCCCACACAGAAATAGCAAAACCGAGATGTGATTCAAAGAGAGAATGGTAAATTTGTTTATATAGTGATTCTGGTAAGCATTTCTTAATACGGTAGATACGTCCACAAGCACTGCTTAGTTTTTTGTTAAGAGATTGTATGTGTGGTTTCCAACTTAATTTGTCATCAATAATAACTCCAAGGAATTTAGTTTGACTAACACGCTTGATTACCCTGTTATTCATGGATAGGTAATAGCTATCTATATCGGCGTCTAATTCATTATTGTTACGTTTATTTGGAGAGAAGTACATGTAACAGCACTTTTTTACATTAATGTGTAGTAGGTTTACTATCATGTAATTATTAACAGCCTGCAGTATTTTGTTAGCCATGTCATATACCTTATCCTTTGAGTCGGCTGCAACAAATATATTAGTGTCGTCAGCAAATAGAACAAATTTACCTAGACTTGTTATATTACAAATATCATTTATGTACAGTATGAACAGTAGAGGTCCGAGCACACTCCCTTGGGGGACTCCAAATTCTACAGGTAATTCATCAGATTTTACATCAAGAACGTCCACAAATTGTTTTCTATTAGATAAATAACTAGAGATAAGATTTAGAGCATTTCCTCGGATACCATAGTTATTTAATTTTGTTATTAGCTTAGAGTGGTCTAGGGTATCAAAGGCTTTAGAAAGATCTACGAAGACACCTAGTACGTGCTGCTTTTTGCTAGTTAACGATTCAATATGTTCTACAGAATAATTAAGTGCATGACTAGTGGAATGCCCTTTTCTGAAACCAAATTGGTTTTCATGAATTATTCCCTTAGAGGTTCAGAAACTATACAACCTAGCATATATCAGTTTTTCTAGTATTTTCCCAAAAACAGGTAGTGTCGATACGGGTCTATAATTTCCTAAAAGCTGTTCATCTTCCTTTTTGTAAATCGGACTAATTCTCCCTGTCTTAAGTTCTTCAGGAAATAGGCCTTCTTGTATGCATCTATTGAAATACTTCACTAAATACGGTGCAATTACTTGACACGACTTCTTAATTACATGAATAGGTATGTCGCTTGATTTACCATTTTTTAATTCGTTTATGGTCTCTATCATTTCAGCACTGTCACAGTCTTTAAGATAAATACTGGATGTGATGGATTTCGGGAGGTAGTCAGTAAATGTTGGTAAATCATTTATTCTTAAATAGTCATGAGAATACACTTCATTAAGATTAGATGCAATGGAAGCAAAGTACTTGTTGAACTCATTTGCAATTACACGACGATTGGTTACACGCTCATTATCAATAATAAAGTTAGGTTTCGTCTGACGTCTCTTCTTACCACGTAATTCGTTAATTATCTGCCAAGTTTTCTTGCTGTCACCAATACATTCAGCAATCTTTCCCCCGTGATACTTATGTTTTGCACAATTAATGAGGTGGTTTAATAACTTCCGGTGTGCTTTAAATTCCTGATGACGCATTACTTTATTTGTACAGTGATAACAAAGACAGTCTGATTGGTTGGGTGTTGAACTTCCCAGTGGAATAAAGATTTATAAACGCTTCTTTACCACATAACACAAGGATGGAACCGAAGATAATTGTTATATTATGTTTTTCTTTATTACTGACATAACTGGCTCCCTCAATTCTTAGAAAGCGCTTGCGCTTTGAGGTATTAAAGACAACGGTTATTTCGATAAGGGGGGACAGAGGGCCCAAGTTGCGATATAAACCAGACAATATTGAAGATTTAGATTTAAATATTGAGCCCTTTGGCTAGAGAATACTTTCTTGAATATTTTCGATAGTTTTTAATATTGGTAATATTAATGAATTGTAATTGATTGATATGTAATATTTAGGCCCGTGGCCAGTTTTCACATTCTTACTAAAACTTTATTAGAAATATTCCAATAAAAGCAGTCATTTGTAATACTTTTGAGAAAAGACTATTTTTTTGAGAAAATCCTTCCAATTTAATTTTAAAACCTAAAACTGTCACAGTGTTCTTGACGTCCAGAGGGAGTTTGTTCCAATATGGAATAACTCGCTCCGGGAGAAAAGACTTCTGGATATACTTTATTTTAGTTAAACTTCTACTACATCTATTGCTTGAAACAAGATTAAGACCGGATCTGCCAGTTCTAAACATCCCCGATCCATAATCAGTTAATCTAATTGTTACTTTAAAAGCTTCTATGAGGTCCCCACGTATTCGCCGCTCTGCCAGCGTTGTCAAATTGAGGATTTCCAATCTACGGCTGTAGAAAAGAGTACCCACCTCATCAATCAGACGGGTAAACCGCCTCTTGACGCTCTCCAGCTCCAAAACAGTCCCCAACTTCCATGAGCCGCAGGTGGATTCTACAATTGGAAACAATACTCAAGATGAGGTCTTATTAAAGCTTTCTATATAGCAATCATAACAACCTTTTCTCTAATAACTAAATTCCTTACAATCCAACAAATCATACGATTTGCCTTAGCGATACATGCTTTGATCTGTTCGTTCCAAACGTATATGGTGGTCATCACTCCTTACCCAAAGTCTGGCAGCCATCAGTTGTGTTATCACTGGTTTTTAACTTCTTTTATACCTTGAGTAATGTAGGTGTTATACAAAGAACCATGTCAACAGTCATGATTTATGTGATGGAATGAGGTAAAAGGGGATAAATCCTAGTCGTTGCTTGAAGTGACTCATAATTCGAAGATAGGGGGTTCGAGACCCACCATACTAGTAAAGCGCCATCAGGCATTGATCTTGAAGTGCCATCAGGCCCTGGCCCTTGTAAAGCAGAATTATTTTATTCTTGATATTCTAATGTTAGCCTTTAGTACACTTGTAGTGCACTGTACTATGATTCTTATTATCTACATTGTCCTTTTAATGTTTGTGGGGAAATATGCATTATATATTTGTTCACATAGTGCGATGATATTTTGTAGACATGTATGATGATGTGATGTCATACATTTTACTTTACTTTACTTTACTTTACTTTTTTATTACAAATTACCCCAGCTCCTTAGACAGCCGGTGGTACTCTTTAACAGAATTGTGACTAAATTTGTTCCTAAACTAGATTCCTTGATAATTAATAATTCCTTGATTAGTTCGGTGTGGTTGATACCTTCGTCTAGGAAAATATCAATGGAATCAATCGAACAGTTCCCTGTACAATGGTCTACCTTGCAATTGTGGTTTTTACATCAACTCAAAGAAAAGAAAGTAAAGAAAATTAATGATACAGTCAATGAGATTGAGCTTATCTGTAGTGAAATGCCCATTCTCGGTTCATCAATTAAAGCTATTCAGCTAGAAGATGTAAAGTTCGATCGTCAAGGAAAATTCCGATATTGGTTTAAAGAATTACACAGAGTGTCCACAAAACCAGATAACTCACTCATTGTCGAGGAGCTTTGGTCTAAAGTACTTCAATACACTAAAGGTAGTGTTACAGAGTTGGATCATACGTTTTCACAAGCATCTAAATCATCTTTCAATGTGTCAGAACATTTTGTCGGATTACTTAAAAGAAATTCATTCCAAGTTAATTATAATCCCTGTTATACTCAAATTACAGAGCCCAATTTCTCTGACTTTAATCTAACTAAAAGTTTCAAAGTCGATGACTTCTCATGGAGCAGGTCATGTCAATCCACAGTCTCATTCATCAATAAACGCTCTATCAGAGTGGTCAATGTGTTTTTAGGACAAATCTCATACGAAACCTGCTCATCCTCCTCGTTGTGTTGCTTAAGGAGTAGTGAGCATGGACCTGACTTGTTGCTCACTTCTGGACGTAACATGAAAATATGGGACGTGCGAAAAGAGGGGCCAGCTTTAGTGTCCCATGAAATACCGTCTCCTTGTTCCAGTTTTGTTAAACACTCATCAAAATCTTCTTGCTTTGTTGAGAGGGACGAATTTTCCTGTGTTTTAGCAGGTAAGGATGGAAAGCTAAATTTACTAGACAAACGGAAATTCTCAGAGATAGTGTCAGTAGTTGATACTAGATTCAGAGACATATTTAGTGTTGAAGTGAGCAGAGAGGGAGGAAGCCTCATTCTCCAGTCTGTCAATGGAGTGGTAAAAGTTTTAGATAGGCGCACTCTTGAAACTGTAGAATCAGGTTACTCCGCTCAAGCTCATGCAGACCCCATAAGCGGGCAATCTTTTGATGTTGATTTTTTTATCCAATGTTCAAAAAAGTTAACTTTATTTTGTGAGCTTTTTCGGCTTCCAGTCCTAAGTGTTCAAATACCTGTGCAAACAAAGGTTTTATCTTCAGCTTTTTGTAGAGAACCCAAACAGTTATTTTGTTCGGGTGTTTCTAATGCTTTTTTGATATCATTTCATTGAGATTGTTGTTCTGTGACGTGTGATTATTAATTGTTTGCCTTAATTTTGATTGTACATCATTGCAAAAATCCACAAATTTCATTCAGCTTTGGACTAATTTTTTTATATCTTTTGACTCAATCATAAAACATCCATCAACCATCATTCAATTGATTTATATTGTATTTCTTGAGTGAACTAAAACAGTTGTGTATAATTCTTACTATGAATGATTATTATTTAGTAGGTATGGAAAGTTACCGTAAGATAGAGAAAGTGGGTGAGGGTACATACGGCGTAGTTTATAAAGGAGAACATAAACCAACAGGGACTACTGTCGCTCTTAAGAAAATCAGGTAATAAACCAACAGGGACTACTGTCGCTCTTAAGAAAATCAGGTAATAAACCAACAGGGACTACTGTCGCTCTTAAGAAAATCAGGTAATAAACCAACAGGGACTACTGTCGCTCTTAAGAAAATCAGGTAATAAACCAACAGGGACTACTGTCGCTCTTAAGAAAATCAGGTAATAAACCAACAGGGACTACTGTCGCTCTTAAGAAAATCAGGTAATAAACCAACAGGGACTACTGTCGCTCTTAAGAAAATCAGGTAATAAACCAACAGGGACTACTGTCGCTCTTAAGAAAATCAGGTAATAAACCAACAGGGACTACTGTCGCTCTTAAGAAAATCAGGTAATAAACCAACAGGGACTACTGTCGCTCTTAAGAAAATCAGGTAACGATTAGTGATCAGCTGTATTTAGACACTAACCTTGTCTTTATACCGAATACTAGAGTAGCAGGTTGTAGTTACTACACTCTGCTACTACAGTGAAATGCAGATTGCAGATGTATTATATATTTATTGCTTTATTGTGTCGTTTTAGCCAGGTCTATGAATTGTAAGAACATTAATTTTAATATCCGTTTCACTGAAACATATTGTTTCCTAGGTTACAAGCTGATGATGAAGGTGTTCCTTCTACAGCTATACGAGAGATCTCAATGTTAAAGGAACTCAAACACTGCAACATTGTCGGGTACTACTAACTAACTTACTACTGCTGTCTTTTACTGTACTCTAGTAGTGTAGTTCAGTGTCTTTTATACTTCCCAAGGTCTCTGCTACTGGAGTAAATTTGATTGTCATTACATTGTATCATCACTAGGCTATGTGGTAATTAGAGCATCCGCCTTCTGCGCAGAAGGTTCAGTCTAGGGAGTAAGAGCTAAGGATCAATTGGAACTATGCGATCTCCTCGGTCGACTCAGCCGAATGATGGGAAACTTAATTGAGGGTTAAATGAGGAGGGGTACCTGTTAGACTGTAAACATAGTACAATTACTATTACTATAATTCTAAGTGCCACTAGTTAAGGGAGCTAAGGAGGTCTAGCCCGGTGGAAAATGAGGAGTATATCTGTGCAGGTTACTAGAGGTAGTGAACGAGAACAATGTGCTGTACCTCGTGTTCTGGTTACTAGGTTACTAGCTGGTTACTAGGTTACTAGCTGGTTACTACCTGGTTACTGTGCAGGTTACTGGAGGTAGTGAACGAGAACAATGTGCTGTACCTCGTGTTCTGGTTACTAGGTTACTAGCTGGTTACTAGGTTACTAGCTGGTTACTACCTGGTTACTGCGCAGGTTACTGGAGGTAGTGAACGAGAACAATGTGCTGTACCTCGTGTTCTGGTTACTAGGTTACTAGCTGGTTACTAGGTTACTAGCTGGTTACTACCTGGTTACTGTGCAGGTTACTGGAGGTAGTGAACGAGAACAATGTGCTGTACCTCGTGTTCTGGTTACTAGGTTACTAGCTGGTTACTAGGTTACTAGCTGGTTACTACCTGGTTACTGTGCAGGTTACTGGAGGTAGTGAACGAGAACAATGTGCTGTACCTCGTGTTCTGGTTACTAGGTTACTAGCTGGTTACTAGGTTACTAGCTGGTTACTACCTGGTTACTGTGCAGGTTACTGGAGGTAGTGAACGAGAACAATGTGCTGTACCTCGTGTTCTGGTTACTAGGTTACTAGCTGGTTACTAGGTTACTACCTGGTTACTACCTGGTTACTGTGCAGGTTACTGGAGGTAGTGAACGAGAACAATGTGCTGTACCTCGTGTTCGAGTTCCTGACCATGGATCTCAAGAAGTATATAGACACCATCCCACGTGACCAACAGATGGACGCTAAACTTCTCAAGGTTTGTCTTTCAGTATCAACATCGAAACTGGGGGGGGGGGACGCTAAGCTTCTCAAGGTTTGTCTTTCAGTATCAACATCTATACTGGGGCCGGGGCGGCGGAGGGGGTACTGTACTGTATACTATGACACTATATTTTAGTCTTAGTTAGAAAATGCAGTGGAATTTCTAAATCCTGATAGTTTCCCGTTTGTTGCAGGCATGTTTTGTGAATTCGTCCTATGATCCCAATTTTATTCTACACAAACATTCGAATGCTCTTAGCAATTATAAATTACTTGCAGTTTTAGAGAAATTGAGGTTATATTTGACTTCCTAAATACAAGCTAAATATTTATTTGTATCCAGATTTTACGTGACAGCGATTAGTAAATCAGCCTCAATCGCAGAAAAACTCTCAAAACGAACAAACAGGAGAGGGGGGGAACAAACAGGGGGGGGGGGGGGGCGGGGGGAAGTACACCTCACCAGTCACCTGTAGCACGTGTAACACATAATCAAATACTGACTTTAACACATTTCAGAGTTACACGTATCAGATACTACTGGCTATCAAGTACTGTCACAGTCACAGAGTGCTACACAGAGATCTCAAACCTCACAACCTGCTCATAGACAAGAAAGGAATCCTCAAAGTTGCTGATTTCGGTTTGGCTAGGGCGTTTGGTGTTCCAGTTAGAGCCTACACCCACGAGGTATTTATAGTAGTATTAGTATCTGGTCACTTGGTTACTTGGTTACTAGCTGGTTACTTGGTTACTAGGTTATTAGCTGGTTACTTGGTTACTAGCTGGTTACTTGGTTACTAGCTGGTTACTTGGTTACTAGCTGGTTACTTGGTTACTAGCTGGTTACTAAGTTACTAGCTGATTTCTTGGTTACTAGCTGGTTACTAACTGGTTACTTGGTTACAAGCTGGTCACTTGGTTACTAGCTGGTTACTTGGTTACTAGCTGATTTCTTGGTTACTAGCTGGTCACTTGGTTACTAGCTGGTTACTTGGTTACTAGCTGGTAAGTTGTAAGAAGGTTATTTCAGATAGTGAGTAATGACATTGTGTTTCTCAGGTAGTGACAGGTAGTGAGTAATGACATTGTGTTTCTCAGGTAGTGACAGGTAGTAAGTAGTGACATTGTGTTTCTCAGGTAGTTACGTTGTGGTACAGATCCCCGGAGATATTGTTAGGACAGTTGAGGTACAGCTGTCCGGTCGATATGTGGAGTGTGGGATGTATATTCGGAGAGATGGCCAACAAACGGCCTCTTTTCCACGGAGACTCTGAAATCGACCAACTCTTCAGAATTTTCAGGTGACTGTTTGCTTATTTATTAGTTAGACTGTTTGCTTGATGTAGATCAAATATTAATATAAACGTATTTATTTTATATTTATAACCTGCTGTAATTTCTAGCTTACTAGCTGGTTACTAGGTTACTACCTGGTTACTAGGTTACTGTAATTTATAACCAACTGTAATATTCTCCCCCAGAACTAAGGGAACTCCTAACGAGTTGACCTGGCCAGGAGTCACTGAACTGCCCGACTACAAACCTACGTTCCCGAGCTGGCCCATTTCCGCCCTGAAGAACGCCTGTCCACGTCTGGACGAACAAGGACTGGACCTTCTCGAGGTATGTTCATTGTTAGTTCTTGTAAGTAACTAAAGTTCATGTTATGTTGACTGTAAGTTATTGTAAGTAACAAATGTTCAGGCAATGTTCATTGTTAGTTATTGTAAGTAACAGATGTTCAGGCAATGTTCATTGTTAGTTATTGTAAGTAACTAAAGTTCATGTTATGTTGACTGTAAGTTATTGTAAGTAACAAATGTTCAGGCAATGTTCATTGTTAGTTATTGTAAGTAACAAATGTTCAGGCAATGTTCATTGTTAGTTATTGTAAGTAACAAATGTTCAGGCAATGTTGGAGTACCAGCCAGCTAATAGGATTAGCGCTAAACGAGCTATAAACCACGCTTACTTCGACGACTTAGACAAGAGCCAGCTCCCAGACGAAGAGATATCTTACTACCGGTCTCACCTTCAAGCAGAGCATTAGTTACCATGGTTACTTGTTACTCAGTAACCAAACTCCAACCAGGACACTCAAGATAGCTTCTTTTTCAGACAATTTTTATCGTTTTCAAATTACATATTTTGTATTTTGGGCAGGCCTAATTTAGCGTGTACATCTTTTTGAAGTATCTATTTTAGTAGGGAGATACTCCTGTAGTAGATAGAATACTGTAACTCTGAGAATTAGATCTTTCTCAAGTAATAGAACAACAGTTAAATGCTTTAAACTTAAGTTTGGGAATGATCTTCAAACTGACGAAGTTATCACATATAATGACATATTACACGCATTGTTTTTGTAAATTGTATCTTACATAATATATTATTGTTATTTGTTATAAATATTGAATGTTACATGAAATTTATAAAAGTTTTGTAACATAAAACGCACTACTACGAGTCTCGAAACAGTCAAGTAGAAGAGATGTGGTGAGAAAACAAATTAGCGAAATCGTGTGATTGATATGTATTTTGTTCTTGGCTTGATAAGTGTCTCTTGTCATTGCGATATTAGTCCCAGACAAAACAATACAAGTTAACTTGATTCTGGAGTTCATGTAAGAGAACAGCTCTACTTGGTGTCCTATTTGATACCGCATTTTTCTTTCAGCTCTACTTCATACTGCAGTAAACTATAAAGTTATAATTTACTTTGTTTATTCCCCATCATGTATCTCAAGAAGTGGCATGTAATGACCGTTGAATGTACTTTGTTTTGCCAACGTACACTGCGGACGTTGCCTCTTTTTCGACTAGCAGGATTTTGCAAAATTTACGTCCTAATCGGTGTTTGGCGCTTTTTTTGAAATGCCTGAGTCCGAGCACGCGCGTTTCTGTGACGAATTTGTAGAATTCACGACAATCTCAAACTTGCCACCAAATTTCAACTGGGTAGGTCGTTGGTTGTAATAGTCTATGTGGACAGTGTAGTCTGGACATGTTCTTTTCAATTTGAGGATATCGTTAAATTTAGGTACTTGATTAGGTCTCGTCAATCATTCGAGTGGCCTGCACCAATGAACTCTACTCAAATCTTAAACAGAAAAAATATATTTCAAAGCTATTTTAATTTAAAATGACACACACTACACAGTGAGACAAACACCTAGTCCTAAAATATATATGGGTTAAAATATATATGGGTTAATCTCAAACTGCAAGTAACTGAAACAAACAAATTCCAGAGTACATGGTCAAAATCATTTATACAAGGAAAGCAGTCTCCTTGATTTCTGTAGGGGACATGTTTTGGGGTTAAATAGGAAGTACTTGTCCCTAACAATCACAAAAAACCGAGTATTGACCCAGTGGCGTAACGTTGCCTGTTGGCGCCCCCTCCCCTTTTGGTGCCCTCCCTAAAATTGAACAAATTAGGTGATTTTAGAGAATACGCCGGTAAAATCTTTAAAAAAGTGTATATCTAGAGCAAAACGCGCAGTTTTGCTAGTACTTGAGTTAAGTTTTTGAAATTTTCCCACATTCAAACGACGATTTGACGCCCCCCGCACGGCGGGGCCCTTTGTTACGCCACTGTTTCGACCTCTCGACCCGCTCATGCCACTCACAGGGACCACGCCCATCCCAAAATTACTGGAATCCAGGCAGTAGCTCAACGTTGCCTGCTGGCGCCCGCTGAAAAAGCGCCCCTCCCTAAAATTTTGATACATGTTTCGTATCCAAATATCGAGTTGATGAATCCAGATTTTTGGAACATTTTTGGAACATTTTTGGAACATGTCCCAAAATTGTCCCAAAAGTGTCCCATGCATTTATTTGCCCTAATAAGCTCTAAATAGTGCCAAAAATAATTGTAAATGATGGATATAGGTAAAAACTAGGCCTAAGAGCCATCAAAACTCAAATAACATTACCCAGGTTCATGGAATGAACGAAAATGAACAAAAATTAATATTGTCCTAAAAATGCTCAGAACGGTTTAAAATTGGTCGGAAAGTGTTTATATTGGTCCTATGACCACTCAAACCAAGTTTGGGAATCACTGCATGTCTAGAACCGATGTTACCTATGTTCCAAAATGTTCCAATTTTGGGACAATAATCCTCCTGAGAATCCAGATTTTTGGAACATGGACACATCGAAGTATTGGCTGTATTTAAGTGCTGGGAAGCCTCAATTCGGTTTTCTAAGATGGATATAGGTAAAGACTAGGCCTAAGAGCCATCAAAACTCAAATAACATTACCCAGGTTCATGGAATGAACGAAAATGAACAAAAATTAATATTGTCCTAAAAATGCTCAAAACGGTTTAAAATTGGTCGGAAAGTGTTTATATTGGTCCTATGACCACTCAAACCAAGTTTGGGAATCACTGTATGTCTAGAACCGATGTGACCTATGTTCCAAAATGTTCCAATTTTGGGACAATAATCCTCCTGAGAATCCAGATTTTTGGAACATGGGCACATCGAAGTATTGGCTGTATTTAAGTGCTGGGAAGCCTCAATTCGGTTTCTAAGATGGATATAGGTAAAGACTAGGCCTAAGAGCCATCAAAACTCAAATAACATTACCCAGGTTCATGTAATGAACGAAAATGAACAAAAATTAATATTGTCCTAAAAATGCTCAGAACGGTTTAAAATTGGTCGGAAAGTGTTTATATTGGTCCTAGGACCACCCAAAGCAAGTTTGGGAATCACTGCATGTCTAGAACCGATGTTACCTATGTTCCAAAATGTTCCAATTTTGGGACAATAATCCTTCTGAGAATCCAGATTTTTGGAACATGGGCACATCGAAGTATTGGCTGTATTTAAGTGCTGGGAAGCCTCAATTCGGTTTCTAAGATGGATATAGGTAAAAACTAGGCCTAAGAGCCATCAAAACTCAAATAACATTACCCAGGTTCATGGAATGAACGAAAATGAACAAAAATGAATATTGTCCTAAAAATGCTCAGAACGGTTTAAAATTGGTCGGAAAGTGTTTATATTGGTCCTATGACCACTCAAACCAAGTTTGGGAATCACTGCATGTCTAGAACCGATGTGACCTATGTTCCAAAATGTTCCAATTTTGGGACAATAATCCTCCTGAGAATCCAGATTTTTGGAACATGGGCACATCGAAGTATTGGCTGTATTTAAGTGCTGGGAAGCCTCAAATCGGTTTTCTAAGATGGAAATAGGTAAAAACTAGGCCTAAGAGCCATCAAAACTCAAATAACATTACCCAGGTTCATGTAATGAACGAAAATGAACAAAAATGAATATTGTCCTAAAAATGCTCAGAACGGTTTAAAATTGGTCGGAAAGTGTTTATATTGGTCCTATGACCACTCAAACCAAGTTTGGGAATCACTGCATGTCTAGAACCGATGTGACCTATGTTCCAAAATGTTCCAATTTTGGGACAATAATCCTCCTGAGAATCCAGATTTTTGGAACATGGGCACATCGAAGTATTGGCTGTATTTAAGTGCTGGGAAGCCTCAATTCGGTTTTCTAGGATGGATATAGGTAAAAACTAGGCCTAAGAGCCATCAAAACTCAAATAACATTACCCAGGTTCATGTAATGAACGAAAATGAACAAAAATGAATATTGTCCTAAAAATGCTCAGAACGGTTTAAAATTGGTCGGAAAGTGTTTATATTGGTCCTAGGACCACTCAAACCAAGTTTGGGAATCACTGCATGTTACCAATGTTCCAAAATGTTCCAATTTTGGGACAATAATCCTCCTGAGAATCCAGATTTTTGGAACATGGGCACATCGAAGTATTGGCTGTATTTAAGTGCTGGGAAGCCTCAATTCGGTTTTCTAAGATGGATATAGGTAAAAACTAAGCCTAAGAGGCATCAAAACTCAAATAACATTACCCAGGTTCATGGAATGAACGAAAATGAACAAAAAATGAATATTGTCCTAAAAATGCTCAGAACGGTTTAAAATTGGTCGGAAAGTTTGGGAATCACTTCATGTCTAGACCCGATGTTACCAATGTTGTCACAATAATCCTCCTGAGCATCCAGATTTTTGGAACATGGGGACATCGAAGTGCTGGGAAGCCTCAATTCGGTTTTCTAAGATGGATATAAAAAAACTAGGCCTTATAGAGGAGCCATCAAAAGTCGAATAATATTACCCAAGTTTATGGAATGAAGAACGAACATGAAAATTTTCCTTAAAGCACTCAGAATGGTTAACAAATGGTGGCAAAGAGTCAATATTTTCGTCCAACAGGGTCTTAAAGTTGCATTCAGAATTGTGTACAATTAAACAGAAATTATTTATTGGGCAAATATTTTTGTTTTAATAATCCTCCAATATTTTGATATAAATGCTTCCCAGCACTTAAATACAGCCAATACTTCGATGTGCCCATGTTCCAAAAATCAGGATTCTCAGGAGGATTATTGTCCCAAAATTGGAACATTTTGGAACATAGGTAACATCGGTTCTAGACATGCAGTGATTCCCAAACTTGGTTTGAGTGGTCCTAGGACCAATATAAACACTTTCCGACCAATTTTAAACCGTTCTGAGCATTTTTAGGACAATATTCATTTTTGTTCATTTTCGTTCATTACATGAACCTGGGTAATGTTATTTGAGTTTTGATGGCTCTTAGGCCTAGTTTTTACCTATATCCATCTTAGAAAATTCGAATTGAGGCTTCCCAGCACTTAAATACAGCCAATACTTCGATGTGCCCACGTTCCAAAAATCTGGATTCTCAGGAGGATTATTGTCCCAAAATTGGAACATTTTGGAACATAGGTAACATCGGTTCTAGACATGCAGTGATTCCCAAACTTGGTTTGAGTGGTCCCAGGACCAATATAAACACTTTCCGACCAATTTTAAACCGTTCTGAGCATTTTTAGGACAATATTCATTTTTTGTTCATTTTCGTTCATTCCATGAACCTGGGTAATGTTATTTGAGTTTTGATGCCTCTTAGGCTTAGTTTTTACCTATATCCATCTTAGAAAACCGAATTGAGGCTTCCCAGCACTTAAATACAGCCAATACTTCGATGTGCCCATGTTCCAAAAATCTGGATTCTCAGGAGGATTATTGTCCCAAAATTGGAACATTTTGGAACATAGGTAACATCGGTTCTAGACATGCAGTGATTCCCAAACTTGGTTTGAGTGGTCCCAGGACCAATATAAACACTTTCCGACCAATTTTAAACCGTTCTGAGCATTTTTAGGACAATATTAATTTTTGTTCATTTTCGTTCATTCCATGAACCTGGGTAATGTTATTTGAGTTTTGATGGCTCTTAGGCCTAGTTTTTACCTATATCCATCTTAGAAAACCGAATTGAGGCTTCCCAGCACTTAAATACAGCCAATACTTCGATGTGCCCATGTTCCAAAAATCTGGATTCTCAGGAGG